GCGTCGTCCAAGTCGGTATTTTTTCATCAATTTCAACATTCGGGTATCGCAGATAGATCTTTTCAATCGAATCTTCCGTAATAAATCTAAAACTACAAATAGTGAACAGCCACTCGGACTCTCTCAGCTGAAATTTGTCTTTTGCCGGTTTCCCAAACTTATCAGTCAATAAATTATTCTCCTTCGCGTATCTGAACTTTTCGACTTATTCTCATTTATTTGTATACATTAACAGAGTAACGTTACAACGTTCTAGAGTTTTCCGCGTTACTTTCACTCTCTGCCGTGCGCAACGTCTTGTGTTTAGTGAACTTAAACTTTCGGCACTAATGCATTTATCTCCTCTTGCGGTTATCTTAGTGGAATCAAAGACTTAATTCTATAACTAACGGTTCTTTATCACATCGTTTATTGTGGAAACTTTCTATAGACCCTCCACCGTGTTTTATCGTGGACGATTGTTATTAAAACTCTGATCCAAAAGTTTCATCTAGTGGAATCATTTATTAATTTTGATGGACCCACGGTGTTAGATTCCTGCATTGTTTTAAAGTACGTACAACTTTCCTTGTTTGGGGGTTTTGTTTTTGTGAATATTTGTAAGTGCCGCAGATCCCTGAGTAGCAGTAATTGCGAACAATATCGGAAAGTGTATGCGACTTATCGATTATGGCAATATTATCGGATACAAAATTGCTATGAATTGCGATTTCATGGCATAAATTTGCAATATAATCGTGACAAATTGAGATAAAATTCCGATTGTATTAAACGCAATTTTATAGAGATAAAATTGCGACAAGATCGAGGATAAGCGCTCAGATGTTGATGATCCTAGCAATTTTATCGCCAAAAAATCGTAAAAAAATCGCAACTTAACTTCTAAGTATCGCGACTTTTCCGTTGGGAAATGCTACTTGGGTCAGTATGTCAAGTTCTATGATACATTAATGAATAATATGTCCAATATGTCCAATATCTTATCCAACTAACTAAAGACTGAAGACTAAAGACTAAAGACTAATTGTAAGTGGTTTTAGTTGCTATAATTTTTGTGTAGATCTTTTTCTATCTTTTGTGACTTCTATACCTGCTGTAAAAGGGCCGCAGAACTTATTTTCCAAATTTTCATGACGAAATCGTTCGGGTGTGCCATGGGAAAATCCTACCTCGGGATAGGATAGGAAAAAAGTTTACAGTTTCTAAAAACTGTTCTTCGCATTTACCTTTGTACTCAATGCAAGATTGTATGCTCCCACAAACACATTTCAGATCCGCTGAATCAGTTGGCTACGATTTATTTCCTAAATCCGGGATTCAATACATCCCATGGCGTTCATTTCTTTACCTACGGCCAAAATTCCACCGAAGTTCTGCCTTAAAATAAAAAACGAGTAGCTTTTTATCTTTTAGAATACACGGCTGATTCGAACTTCAATTGATTTTTCAATTTGATCAATTGAATCGCCTTTTTCCAAAATGCAGTTCACTCGTACGTATTTCTTTCAAGTAAACTACTGACCTCGTTCGTAATCGAAATTCCGCAAAAATTCTTCAAAACAAAAAGAAACTAAATTTTCTGAAGTCACCTCCTATTTTCAATGTTTTGAAATAAAAATTGGTGACGGGATTGCCTCGAAATGTCTCCAGATCTGTGCCGAGATTCAGAAAAATCAGAAGAATTTTTCAGGGAGGATGCTCGACGATTTTTGACCTAAAACTGCAAGGAGGGGTTCTGGTGCATCACAAAAGATTTTGCAGGTTTGCGGGCTCTATAACTGCTTGCGTGTAACAATGGTTTATTGCCTATCTTACGATTTGAAGGCTTTTTCCTGATTTAGGTATTTGAAACAATCCTGACATTTGGACTACATTTTAATGTAAGAAATCACTATTTTTTATTTATCTTAGAAGCAACATTTGCCCCATTGATTTCTTAACGGAGGCCGATGCTTTTATGAAAGAGCCTTAAATATTAGTTCAAAATGTAGTCCAACCAAAGAGTGCGTCTAATCTGCGGCAGTTCGAGTGCGAGCTCACTCTTACAAAAATATGCCAAGCCATAAATTTGATGGATCTCATCTGAGTATAACACGTAATTTTCGCTTTCTTTTCACCCTCTAACTATTTCGTAATAAAACTTCGAATGGTTTCTTTGATCGCACGTCTGGCGCAAAAAATAGAGGTTTGTGTTTCTTTCTCAATTAGCAGCAAATGCCATGGGAGTTATCGCGAATGTTGCAGATCTGATTAAAGAAGGGTATAAGCAATACAATTACTTTGTACACAAATATTTATCGATACTGTCAACCTTTAAGACGGCTCAAAACGCCTGAGGTTACGGTCCAGTAGGGAGTCTCAGCGTAGAAGTTTGGGTTATGAGTCCATAGCTTATCTCTCGTGAAAAAAAAAATCAACTTAGCTAATATCAAGATGTACTGCACGTGATTAATAGGGATGATGCAAACCTGTAATAAAAACAGTCATTGTGCACTGTCTGACACTTGACAGTGGGTCATGGCTCACCGTTACCACTCCTTTAATAATTTTACCCTATCATCCGTGGTAAACTCATGAAAACGGCAGTGTATGACAGTTGACATTTTTAATGTTTATCATCTTGTTTTCCTCCTATTAGCTCCTTCCTTTGACCAATAAGTTTAAACGGATCGTAAATTGTCAATTAAAAGTTGTGACATAAGTTTTAACATTTCAAGGATCTCGAATTATTTGGATACCGGTCTTCGTGTCGAAACGGTTCTTAAATTAATACATGGTAAAATAATCAACATGCATGCCACAAACGAAACGTATATTTACGGTGACTCCTAGAAAAACCATAGCGCGTTGAGTGTATGAATTTTAGAAATTAAAAAATATGACGAAATGTTAAAGCTAGGAACTACTTTTAACATTTTTACCTTTACCGTTATCAATTTGCTTTTCATCAAATCATACAAAGTATATACATTTTAATAAATCTGTAAACCTTACAAAAGTTTTCGGTGAAAAATGCTTACTGTTTAACTGTGTGGCGTGTGTTTGCCGCTCAAAAAATTGGTCTGTTCCGAAGTAGGTGATGATGTGAGGGTTCTACAAAAGATTAAAAAAAAAAAAATAAAGGACGGGTGTACCGTATGCATTATAATTTCCTGAAAAACATGCCCTCTCTAAACTTGTACTTTTTTTATCGTAAGTAGAGCAAAAATTTGTTTTTGTCAAAGATGAAGCACTCATTAATTCTGACGTTTACATAGATGGTTGCCTTTGCTTCTATATGGACGGATCTAACCAGGAACAGCTTAACTACATTTCATATTGCCAAATTTCCACCCGCACCTTACTCTATTTACCAGAAAACCGAGCAGCATATTGCTTGGAAAGTTTTCGCGAATTCCGTAGATAGGGAGAATACATTCACAAAATTTTGAAGCAGATATTTCTTTTTTTTGTGTGTGAAAAAAGTAAATCTTGAGAGTGTAATATGAAACTCGCAATGAAAATAAACTGATTCTAGAGAGTACCTTAGCAATTGCAATCAATCTAAAAAGGATATTTGCATGTCATATCCAATGACGATTCTTGTGAGTTTGCAACACTACTTTTCAGTCCATCTAAATGAACGTAAAAAACCGATTCTTTGTGAGGCCTCACGGAAAATCTTAATTTTCAATTGATTTAAATGGAGGTAAACATTGTTGCCAACTTTCGAAAATTGCCACTGGACAGAACAAATATCGGCTTTAGATAGGATTTTAGATAAAATTGGTAAGGTGATCACCGGAATCAGCGAATCAGCTTTCTACATTGCGTGTTTCCTATTATACTTTCAAGTTAGAGTTTTTCAAAGGGGGAAAAAAGATTCTGTTTGAAAATTTTGCGTATCACGAAGACGTTCCAATCAATATGCTGCTCAGTTTTCTGGTAAAAAAAAGGTGAGAATCGAGTTAAAATTTGGCAATCTGAAACGTAGTTAAGCTGTCCCTAGTTAAATCCGTCTATAGAATTAGAGGCAAAGGCAACCATGTTTCATCCTGCAACAAGTCAAACGGTCAACTGGTCCAGTGGTCCTATTGCCGGAATCACACGCTGAATTTGGCAGGTGAATATGGAAGTTAACAGTCATCGCCCAACAGCAATTTCGCAAATTCGAGTTATTTTCATCCAGATGTGTATCAAATCTATTCGAATAGTTCAGACAAATCCGACATTATCTGATGATCGCTGAGAATCATTGTTGAATTTTGAGCGATCGGGCCGATGACGTCCACATTCAAACTACATTCTGCTCCCAAATTCAGCGTGTGATTGCGGCATATGATCCCTCCTGTTGCCGCAATCACACGCTGAATTCAGCAGCTGAATGTGGAAGTCAACAGACATCGCCCATCGGCTGAAATTTCGCAAATTCGAGTTATTTTCATTCAGATGTGTATCAAATCTACTCGAATAGCTCAGACGAATCCAACATTAGTCCGATGATTGCTGAGATCGTTGCTGAATTTTGCGCGTCACGCGCAAAATTCAGACATCGGGCCGATGACTTCCACATTCAGCTCCCACATTCAGCGTGTGATTGCGGCATAAGACGCCACGGCACGGCCGGCACACGGCTGGAAAAGTCCGCGAGACGAAGTGCGGTGTCTGCCATGCGGGCTGCCGCATTCCCCAGTTGAAGGCGCGAGCAAGGTGTTTGTGGCGTGCCGCACGCGTCGCGTCGCACCGCGCGTCTCCCGCGGGCCGCAGCCGCGACCGCCGCGGTGCGGTCGCGAGAAACGGCGGGCGGCTCACTCGGTCGCTCAGTCACTGTCTGTCCTCGCCCCGAAAACATCTTCTCACCGGTGCATGTGTCGGGAACTTCCGTCGACGAGACAGACAAAGATTCACACCGCCAACAAAATCGCATTTTAAAAACTAGGATAAAAAACAACGCAGTTGTCGAATCGCAATTTTTTCAAGTTCCCAAACTCATCAATCTGTTTTCTCTCTCTCTGTCGCAGGGTCCGCGGGGATGAAGCACATATCCACGACGCCAGCCCAGACCGGAGGAAAACCAAGTGATACCCTAGTGAAATGAAATACAAAGTGTGATCCTAACCTTTTTTTGTTTTTTTCGTTGTTTTTTTGTTTCGTTGTCCGCGGTTTCGTCTCTTTTTCTTTTGTTTCGTTTTTTTTTTTTTTTTCGTTTTCGCGGAGTTTCTTCCGGCTGTGATATTCCCGGTTTTTGTTTACGTTTTGACTCGTGAGGTGTTTGCGTGCTCGGGACCGATATGAATGGTAAAATGAATTGTTTTAAGCTTCTGTGTTTGCTGACGTTTTTTGGAATAGTTGTCACCGCTGACGAGGAGGAAGAGAGACTGCCCGCCAACTGTCCCAGGTAAACATCCACATTTCACTTTCAATTCCTCTATATTTTGTTCTTGTTGATAAATGAATCGTTAAGAACGAAAACACACCAACTCGAAAACAGACAAAGCAGCTCCGTAGGTAAAGACACGGTTGCCACAGTCAGGAGAAACCGGGAAATGTCAGAAAATTTTAAAGTCAGGGAAAACCAGGGAATGCTAAAGAAAATGACGGAAGTGCCAGGGAAAATGTGTTATATCACCTTTATTTGCTTTCTAGAATGGGTTTGAGATTTTGAACAAGAAATTTTGCCTGAAAACTATCTTCAATTATGCCTTCTTAACCATCCGTCACATCTTCAATTGTCAGAGAATTTCACCAAAATGTGTCAGGGAAATGTCAGGGAATTTCATTTTCTAAATTCTGTGGCAACCCTGTGAAAAAGCTGTCTAAGAAAAAGATGTTTGGTGCCGTGAGACAAGTATACTGAAGTGTAAGGAAACTTTGAAGGCCCAAGTTGGACGCGATGCGCAAACTTCAATGACCTTTATGAAAATTGGCCTTTGGAAAATAATCCGTTCAGAGCACCTCTAATTTCCTAAGCAAACTTTTCTTCAGGAGAATCTAAATGAGTCGATGGCGCGATAGTTATCTTTTCAATAGAACTGTTACGTACGAGCCGATTTTAAAAGGAGAGGACCAAGAACACCGAAATCGAACCAAGAGCAAGACGTGGGAGTGACAAATTAATATGTACTCATCTTAATGAGTTTGATAAAGTAGACCCTTAAAAGTCCATAGGGATAAAGATGAAAAGAGGATTCAGAATTGTTTATTGAACAATAAAGGAAAAAATTGGAAGGTTCTTTTTCGGTTCTTTCCTTTTTTCACATCTAACTGAAAGTGAATTTTTTTTTTTTTTTAGAAGCGTGGGATCAAGGTTTAAAAATTATCAATTTGATCACTCAAGGATTATCGCTCATTTATAAAGGAATGTTGGAAAAAGGGTGGTAGTAGCAGTAGCAGTAACTGTAACAGAATATATTTATTATAGAGGTGCCGGCCATTCACACCTCTACAATTGGAGCGCAAGGATTTGTAAGATAAAAGAACCTAGTAAAACTACTGAAAGAACGTTTCAAGGACAAAAAGATATAATTAATAAAGTAATGAGAGAATAAAATAAGAGAGAGACAGGGAGATGAAAAAAGGAGGAAGAAATGAAGAATAAGGATTGAAGTAAAATAATGGAAATCATAAAATCCAAAAAGGGGGAGGGTGGGTGGAAACCTGCCGCAGAACTGTACTATTCTAGATAGAGGAAGGATTTAATGATGGCGAGCATGTGAAAATGACTGCCGGCTTATTCAAGGTGTGGATGCGTTTATTGAAACAAAGCTGTTTTAAATTGCTAAGGAGGAGCAAGGAGTAAGAGTAATTATCGTGACTAAAATAGTTTATTATTGCCTTAACTTCCGTACTTACAATTAGTTTTTTTATTGTTTCATCACGAGAGAGTTTTGCTTGCATTGAGGGGCCTTAATAGTTCTTTCTTGAGGGAATGAATCAGTAATCTATCATTTTGAATTACAACTTGGAGATTTTACAATGGTACAAACTTTCTATTAGAACTATGAGACAAAAAATCTATAGTTGTTCGAAAGTAATTAGCAATGACACGAAGGAGTGAAAACCGAAAATATGGGTATAGCGTGATGAAATATTTAAAGCTTTTGATTAAACTTTATCATTTTCATCTTTTGTCCCCAGGTTTTTAGTTTATAATACGCCGTTTTCCAATTTTTTGGTGTAATTAATGCATTTTTGGTTATGAGAACCTTAACATGTCCGTGGCCCGTGTACAGCCAAGTGGAAGGCATTTTTTTGGAATCCTTTTCCCATGGTACTTATAGTACTCGGTTAAAATTTTAACCATTTATCTCCGAAATGTGAAAGGAAAAAATTGTGGTTGTAGTTAATAATATGACAAGTGCATACTCTCATGCGTGGGCCATTTTTATTCAAAATTCTTTCAGGTGATTAGATACCATTTTGCAAAAATAATATTTTCCCACAAGAGCAAATTTTGTCCATCGAAGCTCTCATGCTGATTACGTGGTTTGGGATTACTGTAGCACGTTTGAATGTGCTCATCTGTTCTTTTAACGCACACGTTGCCAGATTAAGCTAAACATATATTTAGATAACGTGGATAATGGTAGATTCATCCATGCTTCGTATCAGCAGAATAAAGGCTCGCCAAAACACTTGAAGTTATGCCCTGAATTCATAAAGATCAAACAAAAAATCGAAATCTCAATTTAAAGGGGGGGTTTGGGGGTGTTTCGGCTCCTGCAGTCTGGCCGTTCAACCATGGATCACCCTGTCTAGTCTCTTTTTTCGATGGTTGAAGCCTTGTAAGCTAACAATAAGTGGCGGAGCTTTCGCACTGAAGTGGGCCGTGTTGGTGTTGGGTGTCGGTGTTGGCCTGGGCGGATCACAGATTGGGTCGGTGATTTCGCGAAGCGGGACCTCAAGTCCACCGTCCATCGGCTGCGGCCGTCCAGTCGAAAGTCCGTCATGCCCAAGCATCTGTCAAATCGTAAATATTATTTATTTCCGCCGTGTCACTGGCCCTCGCGAGCCAGTGTTTGGCGCTTCCACCTCGGATTTGGAATCGTCGGAAGATGGTTCGCTAAGCCCCGGTCTGACCATCGCCTCGTGCGACCGCCGCACAGCGGGTCGAGTCAATGGGTGAGGTCGGACAGAATCTGGAAACTTTAAACGCTTATAACTCCGTTTATACAAAATTATGAGGTTTTGAAAGTGGTTCCATTGGTTTCCACGTGTAATTTGCTTCTAGAAGCACCCCTTGAAATTTAAAATGTGACGAAATAAACATCAAAATTTGCAGTTTTAGTCAAAAATTTTATGTCCGATCTATTTCATTGACTCGATACACTGTGCGTCGTGGACTGGTATAGTGGCTACATCATTCGATAGATCGCGATTCATTTCGTAATTAATTTGCGAGGTTTCAAACCCAACAAAGTAACATAGTATAATGTCCAAATTCTGTGTGAGATAATTGGGTGAATGCATTACAATTAACAAGTCGTAAATCAATTAATGGCTCATTAAACTCGAGACGTTTCGATTGCTAGATACACCTGTACGCATCTTACCACCAAGGCGCGAATTTGACATGGTTATGTGTCGGATTACATTTGAACTACCAAAATTGCGATCTGAAACTATGACGTAGCCAATGTATCAGTCTGTCGTTAGAATCGAGAACCACAATGCGGTAGCAGGCAAATTGAAGAAACTGAACATGGTATAAATTGAACCACATTTTTAAGATTCTGAATCGTTTTAGAAATAATTTATGTGCCATCAATCTTAGGAAGATTATTTGACTTTCTGCCTAGGCATTTGACAAAATTCTCAGAAATCTCAGAAAACTGGTGGATGATGGGGGGAAAAAAAGGTAATCTTCAGACCTAGGGGATCAAAAGACTAAAACACCTGATCCCGAGTGTAGAACATTCTTTACCTATTTTTCCGTGGATCTGGGGAATTTTCCAGGATTTATCCGGGCCAGTCCCGATTCCATTACTCTCCAGGTTTCCCGACACCCTGGCTCATAAAGTGTATATTTCTCTCCTCACTGGAAAAAAAAAACACATTGGATCTAGAGTCCAGACTCATAAAAACATCGACAAGAAAAAGTACTCTTGATTCAATCAGAATGTAGCTTAAATCAAGTACCAAGCCTCTTAATTTAAGCGGATTTCGTTTTGATTCAAGCAAAAATCTAATTGAATCAAGAGTATTTTTTCTTGTCAGTGTTTTCAAGAGTCTGGTATCTAGATCCAATTTATTTTTTTTTTTTTTCCAGTGTGGATCTTAGGAATTTTTCAGGATTTACCCGGGCCAGTCCCGACTCCATTACTTTCCAGGTTTCCCGACACCCTGGCTCATAAATTGTATATTTCTCTCCTCGTCGAGAACTTATCTTAAAATATTCAAGATGCGCTAATGGAGCATCTTCCGGCTGCATAAACGCAGTACTCCGGCTCCGTTGCGGCGATGATTGCCTAATTATCTCAAAGAAGGCAATTACTAATTCGCACGGCAAACAGACGGCAACCGAAACTTGGAACACGTGCTTCTCAGATGATCCATTAGCCGCCCGCTTCTGAACTAGAAACGATCCGCCGCTGACACCTGCTGCGCTCGTTTCTGAGCAGATTATTTGCGAAAATCGAAAGAAAACGACGGAAAAGAAAATGATAAACTTAAGAGCACACTCTCCTGACATAGAGAGAAGGCTTAGAAACGATCGTAGATTCGTGATATTGCGCTAATTACCACGCGGAGCTGTCAAAAAATTAAGCGCTCAGCTGATAGCGGCCGCATTTTGCTTTCAACCTAGGGGGAGTCTGCAGTCCCTACATATTTTCACCATGTGAACCACACTGCTGCTAAGGCACACTTTTCTCCGGTTCTACCGGACGGATTTTCAAAAACTTTTGTTTGTTAGATTCCCTCATACCTTATTTTAGCTTTAGACTAGACGATTTTGAAAAATATTGAAGATGGGAATTTGTATGAATATTTGTAAAAAAAATAAAATAAAAAAATGGAAGCAAATTGGACTTTCTGACTCATTTTTTTTATTGATAATAGTAAAAACTAAGTCTTTCGTCTTTAGTAAGAAAAAAAAGGTAAGGAAAATAACAAAAAAAAGTTCTTGAAAATCCACCCATCAGATCCTGAGAAAAGTGTAAGGTCAAAAAACATAATTATGAGAAAAACCTGTTTAAAGTTTTAAATACACATAAATGTTGCAGTACTTCGTCTGTCACACAACGTTGCAGAACTTAATCAATAATAAATTAATGAGGGAATCTCGGATCGGAATAAGCCTCTGGCAGTAATAAAAGCGATTGCATTGACTGAGTCGGAAATTCGCGGAGGAGGCACTGATATTCCACTCGCAATCATATTGAATATTTTCGGGGAAGG